CGGGCGCCGCAGCAAAAAATGGCTGCCCACTGCTCCGGGTGTGTGTTCACGGTGTGTGTGTGTGTGTTCACTGCTGTGTGTGTGCACTTTGGATGGGATAAATGCAGAGCACTAATTCCGAGTATGGGTCACCATACTTGGCCACATGTCACTTCACTGGATGCTCAAACACTTGCCTCATCTCCTCAATAAAGCAACTGTAATCCGAACAAACTGCTGGTTGTGGTGTTGCATAGGCAAGTGCTTTCCCAGATAAAATAGTAATAACATAATCCACTTTGCTACGAGCTGTTGGGAACTTTTTTTGGTCGCAATTCAAAGTTCAATGAGCACTGGGTGAGGAAGCCATTCCATCTGCCAGGGCTTCCGTCATACCTTTCTGGATGAGGCAGGTGGATTTCAGAGCTCTACACTTCAGGGATGGAAGAAGCTGGTGGAGCCCGGGATTGAGAATCAGCGTCCTGCTGTGGGTTTGAAAGAGATTGAAGACGTTGAAGGATATCTGTGATAGCCTTACCCAGTTTTATTAAAGCAACCTGTTGTTGTGCAAGGACTCATTCATGTCGTTCCATGGTGGCTGCCTGGCTTGAAACAGCAGCAAGGTTGCACTCTGCATTCAATAAAAGTTTCAGCTTCACTGCTCCGGGTGTGTGTTCACGGTGTGTGTGTGTGTGTTCACTGCTGTGTGTGTGCACTTTGGATGGGATAAATGCAGAGCACTAATTCCGAGTATGGGTCACCATACTTGGCCACATGTCACTTCACTTTCACTTTAAAAATAAAAATAAAAAAAAGATAGAAAAAGGTACTCTCTTAGAAAAAAAGGTACAAAAGCTGTCACTGGGGTGGTACTGTTGAAAAAGGTACACCTTTGTACCTTATTTACCCCTAAAGAATGTATATTAGTACCTTAAAAGTACATATCAGTACATAAATGGTACATTCTTGTACCTTTTGACAACTTTTTTACCTTTTTTTTTTCTGAGTGCAAAAATGATCTTCAACAACAAAAAGTTGATGCCAACTTGTGCTGCTGTGAACATTTTTCTAAATGCATCAGAAAACGTATTTTATAAATAAATTATTTAAATAAATAATGATATAAATACCTTTAAATAATATTTGAAACTTTTAATTCTTTTTATTTGTTCAGCAGAATGTCTTTTTAGCAAATATGCACATTTACATGTGAACAAAAGTATGGAAATAAAACCTAGCATTTTGTTGTTTTCTTATTACTTTATGTTATCTAACATTTATTAAAATACGTTTTAATAGTTGTGCATTAACCCTTTTATGCTCTTTCCAATGTTAAAGTAATAAACTCAAATCTCTTTTTATGATTTTGTTTAGTAAACAGTTGATCCTTGTTATTTGCAGGAATATCATTGTTACATTTTCTAAGAAGCACTGTGACTATTACATTTGACATTAAAAGACTTGAAAATAACAGTCTTGTTACTTTTAAGGCATCATTTCCCAAAGCAATCATTTATCTATGGATGGCACAGTGCATATGTGAACACTGAAATATTATTTCTTATTGGTAGACAGAATTTTTAAAATCTTGCAAAAAAGGAACTTCTTGTCTGGCACTCTGGAAGAGGTGCCCATTTTGTATAATGACCCATATTTGCATATTGGCACACACACTCTATAAAACTCTAGGCAGGGTTCTTCAGGTGTTCTCTGCTGCAGAATTTACAAGCTCTTAATGCTGGGTCAGATGATGGAGTACAGATAAACCAATCAGGCTTCACCCAGGATGAGTAAATGGGCATGCAGAGGGGTCCATTATCTGTCAGGCTCGTATGATACAGCAGCTCCATATTTATGGCTTACTTAATGGGGTTGATTGTATTAGTGCATGAGACGAAGGAACGGCCCTATTGCAGACACAGTATTTCCAGCTTTGTGCAATTACCATATGTAAATCCCGCAAGCAGGCGTCTATTTAAAATGCATTGAATTTCCCAAAGCAAAAACAATCAAGTCCAACCATGCGAACTTCATTAATACCAAAGCATGGGCAGATATCATTTGAAGTACTCCTATGATTACTTTAGCCAATGCCCATGTGCATTTGGGGTTTATTTTAATTTAAAGGATACTTGAGATGGTATTTGCAAAGACTCGGTAAATGGAGCACAGGTGTTCTCTGCTGCAGAATTTACAAGCTCTTAATGCTGGGTCAGATGATGGAGTACAGATAAACCAATCAGGCTTCACCCAGGATGAGTAAATGGGCATGCAGAGGGGTCCATTATCTGTCAGGCTCGTATGATACAGCAGCTCCATATTTATGGCTTACTTAATGGGGTTGATTGTATTAGTGCATGAGACGAAGGAACGGCCCTATTGCAGACACAGTATTTCCAGCTTTGTGCAATTACCATATGTAAATCCCGCAAGCAGGCGTCTATTTAAAATGCATTGAATTTCCCAAAGCAAAAACAATCAAGTCCAACCATGCGAACTTCATTAATACCAAAGCATGGGCAGATATCATTTGAAGTACTCCTATGATTACTTTAGCCAATGCCCATGTGCATTTGGGGTTTATTTTAATTTAAAGGATACTTGAGATGGTATTTGCAAAGACTCGGTAAATGGAGCATTTAAGCACAGGAGCCTCAGGAGTGTCTCAAGTGAGGAATAAGCACAACTTTACATGAAAGTACCATCAATATTTACACAGCTGCCTTATAAAAGCCAATTAGGGAGAGGAAATGGATTTCAACATCATGTTTGCCCTGTATCCGGCGTGGTTTACATCTCCGTGCAATGTTTGCATTAATGGTCAATTATTTCACACAAGAGGTGTCCTGAACCCTGACAATATCACATTCTACTACACTTAAAGCTTAAAGTAACAGCAGATTCTTATCAGCTTCTAGGACATTCCAATAAATGTCATTTAGGCTGCATGCATACAGATTTACAGCCCACAAAAACAGTTTACATTAATATGTAGCCCTATAAAAGTAGTTACCCTGTCAAATAAAATAATTTAATCTGTTCTCTCCATACATGCAAATTATTCCAAGTTGTGTTGCTGTCAAAGACGCAAGATTAGAAAATTTGGCTTATTTCTTCTTTTTCTCTTGATCTGATAGACTTATTCAGCCGGGTTTAACTTACAGCACTTTAGAGCGGTTGCACAGAGCAGCAAATGCGTGAAATGTTTCCCCGTTTGTTTTAATGAACACAATTACTCAGTTTAGTTGGGGCTCCAAAATGCAGATATGAAAATGGATCCCTGAAGAAGCAAATCCAGAGAAGACTCAATTATCGTTTATGAAAGTCTTCAGTCTTATACGTTTTAGGCACAAACATGCTCTTGGTCAGAGTCTGTCACTCATACTGATCAGGTGCCAAGAAGTTGCAACACAGAAAATGACAGACACATAGAGAGAGAGAGAGAGAGAGAGAGAGAGAGAGAGAGAGAGAG